ATATATTATGTAATAATTTTTTAGAAAAAATATTTATTTACAAATATACCCTCTACAAATATAGTGAAAAGGATGTAAAAGAAGTTTTTGAGGACAATTGTGTCTCTAATAATGTTAACACAAGTATTAGAACCATTGCATTAGTAATGCATAAAAATAAATGGTATTAGTAATATACTCTTTAATACACGATACAAGCATTACTTATGCATATGTTAGAATAGTGTACTAGACAAGGTACTAATAATTCACAAAATTAATATAAGCATTATTTTCTCCAATACACTATAGCAAACGACCCCTTTGTCTGAATTGATTTGAATTAAACTGAATTTGCACGTGGCCAGGAGAAATTGTCAATTTCTAGTGTAAAAAATAAGCTGAAAAAATGACAAGACATGGTGATTTTGTCCGTCGTTTTCCTGATTTTTTTTTGGTTTGTCATTTTTCTGAATTTTTCAAAATTAAATTTTGAAAAATGTGATAGATTGTGTCGATTTTCGAATTTATTTTCAAAAATAAAATTAACTTTGTTCGTAACTTTTTAAGATTTAAAAAAAATTATGAACTAAAAATAAACAACGAACTAGGTAGCTTTTTGGAAATTAAAAAATATTAAAAATTATAGAAAAGCGACAAATGACATTACATTATTCAAGAAAATATTTTTTTTAAAAAAAGCAACGCAGTCTGTTGCTCTTTTCCGACACTATTAGTTGGTTTTTGTTGTGCGGAATTTGAGATAATACGAGAAAATATAAACGCGAAAAACAAGACAACAGATTTACGTGGTTCACCAATAAATTGGCTACGTCCACGGGAAGAGAGGGAGCAGTTTTATTATGGAGAGGCAAAAACAGAATTACAAAATAGGGTTTGCCATAGCGTCTATATATAGTGCTAAGCTACGCCCTAACAGGCTTGGGCCCAACATACAGAATTGACAGAAAATTAAGGGCCCAATACAACAACATTGTATACCGTCGGGCCGGGGGCGTCTCCGCCCCCCCGAACCCCCAGGCCAGGGGGCGTGTCGCCCCCCCGGACCCCCCGACTCGCTGACCGGGCAGCGAAACCCCCGTCCTTTCTGTTTGTAGCGGGTCCGATTCAAGGCATTCAACAAATCTCCAGAGTATCGAGCCAAAAAGCATCGTTGTGACTTCAATCCTCTTCATTCGGCGGATTTTTTGATAACCTGACCAAATAAGCGACACAATTTATTACTTTTGGCCGTTAATTTTTGTCTGAGTTTTAGTAGTGACTTTCGATCCTTTTCCTTCGGGGTTTTTTGATGACCTTCTAAGGAGTATCAATAACAACCCAATAGATGCTTCTTCGCTTTAATAGATGCTACTTCGCTTTAATAAGCAATCTTAAGGCTTCAACAAACATCTGATAGATGATCAACAAAAGAAAATATTCCAACGAACTGCCCAGGTGGACGATAATTTAAAATAAATGTATAAGACCTTTTTGATAAGCACTATTTTGTTTCGAAGTCCCCTTTGTCCATCCCTTGGTTTACCACAACTGAAACTTAATGATAATCAATTGCTAAATCTTAATTGTGAGTGTAACTCTTAACGCAAGAAAGTCCTCTTAATAGCTTCATAAAGTTACCAATGTTCCGTTATGTAATTATAGCAGAGACTTTGATAAGTTCAACCTTATTTGAATTTGACAATATTAATACTTGTTCAGGTGTGTTGATTAACACTATGTGAGGACTTTGAGAAATCCTATGTTGGTCATAGTTGAAGCACAAGTTTTCGCTTAAGTATTCATTTGTCTTATCAACGGAAATCGTTTGGATAGAAAGTTAAACTTTTTATCAGAATCAATGAGGCAGGTTAGTATTGTTTAATTTTCATACATTATATTTTAATATCATAATAACACTTTAACTATATTTTTCATTTTCTAGATTATCTATGAAGTAATTGAAAGTTTTGATTGACCAAATGGAACATCAATTAAAATTAAGGAGACTCGATCAAATCTATTATGGACTTATTTGAAATAATTGGAAAATTGGTGCAAGCAAAATCATATTGGCTTGTCGGAACTAATAGATAGTCCTATATTTTTATGAATTAAATCTAATTTTTATTTGTATCTTTTATTGATTTACGAGCTATGTATGGTGGATAAGAATAACCATCCAGATGTAGTTTCACCAAACTTGTATACTTTTCATACATTTTCTATTAATTTTCAATAGTTAACCCAAATTGACCCCATATGTACTTTCAATTCACTTCTTACAAAGTTTCCAACTCTTTCTATGGATTTTCACCAAACAACTTGCTTCTAAGTTTGCTTTAAATTTCATTCTAATGAGTGTTCTAAATTTTATTCCTACTGTTTTTTCCAACATCCTAATGAATGTATTTGGATTGCTAACAATAAGGCTACATGATTGATCAACAATAAGTGGGAAAGTTCATCTAAAAACTCATGATGATGATATTTTCAGAGAATATTTTAGAAATCAAAACTCATTTGGATGATAGTCTAGCGAATATTTTTAGAAATCAACTATTGACTATCATTTTATTCTGATGACTCATCATTTAAACTTGATGTTCATTTTGCTTTAACAATTAGTTCCAAGGCTTCAACAAACAGTTTCAATGCTTCAATAAATATCTCATGTCGCAGATGGTGGTGACAGTGTTTCCATGAGTTATCTAGATGGATGATGATTCAAAATGGATGTGTAAGACCCTTTTGATAAGCATTATTGTCACGACCCAATTTTTTTTCAAGTCGTGATGGCACCTATGTTCCCAACCAATAGGTAAGCCAACCCAACATACTAACCCAACTAAACCAATCAAATGAGTAAAAAGACCAACGCTTAGCAAGAATCTCCAACATGAGTTCCTTATAAGTACGAAATGCGGAAGATAAAATATACCACCCCAAGAATTGGTGTCTTAAGTACAAGAGCTTCTAAAATACGATGCAAGTCTGAAACCAAAAAGGCAAATCTAACATAAGGGATATCCTGTCTGAATACTGAATAACAGAATAAGTAAAAGATAGAGGGAGGTGTGGGCCACGGAACAGCCAAGCAGCTCACCACAACTCCAAGACACTCCAAACTCGGACTCAAACTGCTCCTCGAGATGTGCTCCTACTTGGAATCGAATCTGCACCACAAAGAGTGCAACAAGTGTAGTATGAGTACGAAACCACGTGTACTCAATATGTCTCATTGACCGACCACGAAGAAGTAGTGACGGGAGTTATATAAGAAAATAATTTCTTAGATTGTACAAGTATATATATATATTACACTTACTATTTAAGTTTCATCAATAAAGGAAATCAACATTTAATATTTTCCAAACACCAACGAAACATATAGTCATCAAGAATGAATGATGGGATGAAGTGCAATGCAATATGATGCCATGTAATGATATGTCTCAAAATACCCAGTACTCACTCAACCGTATATACATGATACTCCTCGGAAATACATCGAGAGTTCATGACCCATGGGGGACTCGCGAGGTCCATATACCGACACGGACGATCTCCACGTGTCTGTGCGGACGATCTCAACGCACTATCATAATATCAAATAATTTTCGCACGGACGGTCTCCACGTGCCCAAATTACAATCTTAACATCTCACCATCCCCAGCACGGACGATCTCCACGTGCCCAACTTATACTCAGTCTCACGTCTATGCATATGCACAATATTATTTCAATAGAGGGGATGATGATGCATCTCAATCAATCAATATGAACATAATACATACCCACCTCAATTATCACAACTATACGGATGAAATAAATAAAACACAATCACACAAGGAATTCAAGTCAATAATATATCAGCTAATGCCCATATGCTTTGGCATTCTCAAATTTCAATCCACATTCTATAATAGAAATTTTCTTTTTTTTTATAACATCGGTACTCGTACCAATGCCCGTCACACCATTGATACGAGACCACCATTTTTTCCCTTACCCCTTTGTCTATTTCCATTTTTAATCTTGAATTAGGAAAATACTAATTTAATAAAAATTTCCTCAATTAGGCACTCGTAGTTACCGAATAGTTTAAATATCCCCCTTTAATTTTCCAAAAGGAGTCAAACTAGTCCTAGTTCTCAAAACGACCTAGCGGGTCGTTACATCACCTACCACTTAAACAAACGTTCGTCCTCGAACGGGAAAATACAAGAGCTAACCTGAATGATCAAAAAGATGAGGATATTTACTCCTCATGTCTGACTCTGTCTCCCATGTAGCCTCCTCCACTGGACGATGCTTCCACTGAACCTTTACTGAAGCAATCTCCTTGGACCTTAGCTTCCGAACTTGCCTATCCAAAATGGTGATCGGCTCTTCCTCAAAAGTCAAATTCTGATCAAGTAACACCGAATCCCATTGAATCACGTGATCACCACCCTGATGATACTTCTTAAGCATTGAAATATGAAATACAGGATGGACACTTGACAACCCAGGTGGCAAAGCCAACTGATATGCCACCTCACCAATACGCTCCACAACCTCGAAAGGACCAATGTACCTTGGACTCAACTTGCCCTTCTTTCCAAATCTCATCACACCCTTCATGGGTGAAACCTTAAGTAAAACCCTCTCTCCAACCATAAACTCCAAATCACGAACCTTCCTATCTGCGTAACTCTTTTGCCTACTCTGAGCCATGAGAAGTCTATCTTGGATCAACTTGACCTTGTCCAAGGACTCCCTCAACAAATTTGTACCCCAAGGTCTAACCTCAAATGCGTCAAACCAACCAATTGGAGATCGACATCTCCTACCATACAAAGCCTCAAATGGTGCCATCTCAATGCTCGAATGATAACTATTATTGTAAGCAAACTCCGTTAATGGCAAGAATTGATCCCACTGACCACCAAAGTCAATCACACACGCCCGCAACATGTCCTCAAGAACCTGAATAGCCCGCTCAGACTGACCATCAGTCTGAGGGTGAAAGGCTGTACTAAGATCCACCCGAGTGCCCAACTCCTTCTGCATAGACCGCCAAAAATGAGATGTAAATTGGGTTCCACGATCTGAAATAATAGATATAGGAACCCCATGCAACCGAACTATCTCCCGAATATAAATCTTGGCTAACCTTTCTGAGTTATAGGTAGTTTGAACTGGTAAAAAGTGTGCAGACTTAGTCAGTCGATCCACGATGACCCATATAGCATCAAACTTACCCAAGGTACGTGGCAATCCTACCACAAAGTCCATAGCAATACGCTCCCACTTCCACTCAGGTATAGGCATCCTCTGTGTCACACCTCCAGGCTTTTGATGTTCATACTTCACCTGCTGACAATTCAGACACTGGGATACATAATCTACTATGTCCCTCTTCATACGACACCACCAATAATGTTGCTTCAAGTCACGATACATCTTAGTAGCCCCCGGATGAATAGAGTATCTCGAACTATGAGCCTCGTCCATGATCAATCTAGTCAAATCACCTGTACGAGGAACACATATACGACCCTTAATCCTCAAAACTCCCTCACTATCAAGAATTGCAGCCTTGGCTTCTCCTTTTAACACCTTGTCCCTAATCTTACATAAATCACCATCATCAAACTGTTGAGCCCGAATCTGCTCCAACAAGGATGACCTAGCCTCCATATAAGCCAACACCTTACCAGATCCTGAAATATCAAGTCTCACAAAGCTATTGGCCAGGGATTGGACATCCCTAGCTAAGGGACGCTCGCCAACCTGTAACATGGCTAGGCTACCCATACTTACCGCCTTCCGACTCAAGGCATCTGCTACAACATTTGCTTTGCCTGGGTGATAAAGAATAGTCATATCGTAGTCTTTGAGCAACTCCAACCATCTCCTCTGCCTCAAATTTAGATCCCTCTGATTGAATATATACTGGAGACTACGATGATCCGTGAACACCTCACAATGCACCCCATAAAGATAATGCCTCCAAATCTTTAATGCAAACACCACAGCCGCCAATTCTAAATCATGAATAGGGTAGTTCTTCTCATGAACCTTTAACTGTCTCGAAGCATAAGCTATCACTTTTCCCTTCTGCATTAATACACAACCAAGACCAATCCGAGAAGCATCACAATATACGACAAAACCCTCTCCCTCCACGGGTAGGGTTAAAATCGGAGCAGTAGTCAATAAAGTCTTGAGCTTTTGGAAACTAACCTCACATTCGTCAGACCACTGAAAAGTCACCTCCTTCTGTGTCAGTCTAGTTAATGGAGATGCAATGGATGAGAAACCCTCAACAAACCGTCGATAATAACCTGCAATGCCCAAGAAACTCCGAATCTCAGTAACTGAAGCAGGTCTGACCCAATCTCTAACCGCCTCAATCTTCTTAGGATCCACCATGATACCCTCCTTGGACACTACATGTCCCAAGAATGCTACCGAACTAAGCCAAAACTCACACTTTGAAAACTTTGCATAAAGCTTCTTCTCCTTTAGAATCCCAAGAACAATCCTCAAATGATGCTCGTGTTCCTCCTTACTGCGTGAGTATATCAATATATCATCTATGAAGACAATAACAAAGGAATCTAAATATGGTCTGAACACTCCATTCATCAAGTCCATAAAAGCTGCTGGGGCATTAGTCAATCCGAAAGACATCACCAAAAACTCGTAATGACCATAACGTGTTCGAAAAGCCGTCTTAGGGATATCCTCCGCCCTAACCTTCAGCTGATGATAGCCCGATCTCAAATCAATTTTGGAGAAAACTGAAGCGCCCTGTAATTGATCAAATAAATCATCAATACGAGGTATCGGATACTTATTTCTAATGGTTACCTTGTTCAACTGTCGATAGTCAATACACATACGCATAGATCCATCTTTTTTCTTCACAAATAACACTGGAGCACCCCAAGGAGATACACTTGGTCTAATAAAACCTTTGCTCAACAAATCCTGCAATTGCTCCTTCAACTCTTTCAATTCAGCCGGTGCCATACGATAAGGAGGAATAGAAATAGGCCGAGTGCCTGGCTCCACATCGATACAAAAATCAATATCACGATCTGGTGGAAGACCTGGCAAATCGGTCGGGAATACCTCTGAAAATTCACTCACCACTGGAATAGACTCAAGCATAGGAGTCTCAATACTAGTATCTCGAATATGGGCCAAGTAAGCCAAACATCCTCTCTGTACCAACTGACGAGCCTTAAGGAATGATATCACACCCTTAGAAGGATGACTAAGAGTACCTCTCCATTCTACTATAGGAATTCCGGGCATAGCTAAAGTGATGGTCTTGGCATGACAATTTAAAATTGCGTGGTAAGAAGATAACCAATCCATACCAAGAATCACATCAAAATCTATCATTTCTAAGACCTTTAGATCTGCATGAGTGTCATACCCCATCAAAGTAACAGTACATAAACGATACACTCGATCTACAACTACAGAATCCCCGACAGGAGTAGAAACACGTATCGGCAAATCAAGAGACTCACACAATATATCCAGACTAGGAGCAAAATATGTGGACACATAAGAATAAGTAGAGCCTGGATCAAATAATACAGTAGCTGGTCGATGACAAACCGGAATAATACCTGTGATAACAGCGTCTGAGGCTTCAGCCTCTGGCCTACCTGGAAAAGCATAACAGTGAGAACGACTTCCATCAGATTGTGGACCTCCACGACCACCACCTCGACCAGAAGGAGAACCACCTCTACCTGAATGAGAACCACCTCTACCATTCTGTGCACCACCCCTAGCTGGAGGTTGTGCAGCCCTGGAAGTCGAAACCTGAGAACCCTGATGTAAGCCACCACGTCTGGTCCTAGGGCAGTCTCTCACAAAGTGTCCCATATCACCACACTCAAAGCAACCCCTACGAGACGCCGGCTGATGAGAGGAACCGGAATGTCCAGAATGCCCTCCACGAACTACAGGTCTAGAAGATGAACCCTGCGAAGTATGTACCGAGCTCAAAGAGTTATGCCCAGCGCAACCAGCCTCAGACGCTGGTATGGCAGCATGAATGGGTCTGCTGGACTGAGGGTGATAACCTCTGCCCAAGTAACCCCGACTCCTAGACGGAGCACCACCATAATCACCTGAATAACGAGTCCTCTTGCCCTCTCGCTGCTCAAATCCCTCACGTCGAATCATCTCCAACTCCTTAGCAGCATCTACCACTTTCTGGAATGGAACACCAGAAGCAGCAACCTGAGAAACTCCTAGACGAATTGGAATAATCAGCCCCTTAACAAACCTCCTCACTCTCTCAGCCTCTGTGGGAAGTATCATCGAAGCATGCCTAGCCAAGGCATGAAATTTACCCTCATACTCTGCAACTGACATACCATTTTGCTGCAAACCCTCAAATTCGGCCCTCTTGCGCTCCCTCTCACTGCGTGGAACAAATTTGGATAGAAATACCTGAGTAAACTCAGTCCAGGATAGTGGATGAGATCCAGCTGGCCTACTACTAATATAATCCCTCCACCACTGCTTAGCAGAGCCAGTCATCTGAAACGCTGTGTAGTCAATTCCATGAGACTCCACTAATCCAAGATTATGCAACCTCTCATGACAACTAACTATAAACTCATATGCATCCTCAGCTAAGTCACCAGTATAAGTAGGAGGATTCATTAGTCTGAACCTCCCAAACATCTTTTGCTCATCAATAGTCATAGAAGGCCTGTTCACCAAATGTGATGTCATATCTGGAAACTCCATACTATCCAAACGAGGAGCTACAGCGGCAGCTGGCTGAGTCCTGGGAGTCTGAGAATCTGGAGCAACTATCGGATCTGGAGTTTGACCTCCAACACGGGTCTGTGAGCCATCAGAAGTGACAGGCAAAGCTCCTGCCTGGGCCATCCCCTCTAGGATTCCTAACATACGAGCCAGGGTATCTTGAAGCACTGGGGGAACAATAGTACTTGTTGGAGCCTGAGCTGGCCCATCCCCCTCGACACGATCTTGCACATCCCCATGAAGAACATCTGCATCAGGAGGCACGGTCCTATCATGACCCTGGGTAGCTATTGGTACTTGACCACCCACAGGTGCTGCAATACGGCCCCTACCCCGACCTCGAGCTCGTCCCCTACCTCTACCTCGGATAGGGTTCCCAGAAGCAGACGCAGGATTAGGATACTGACCACCACTTGCCGACGTACGATTCCTCGCCATCTGAGAGAGAATGAGATATCAAGATTAGAATTTCTACAAGGTCAAGTGTGCACGATAAGGAATAAAAGAACAGAATATTTCCTAAATGTCCTATAGCCTCTCGAAGATAGGTATGGACGTCTTCATACCGATCCGCAAGACTCTACTAGACATTGCTCTTGTACTCTTGAGACCGATAAACCTAGAGCTCTGATACCAAATTTGTCACGACCCAATTTTTTTTCAAGTCGTGATGGCACCTATGTTCCCAACCAATAGGTAAGCCAACCCAACATACTAACCCAACTAAACCAATCAAATGAGTAAAAAGACCAACGCTTAGCAAGAATCTCCAACATGAGTTCCTTATAAGTACGAAATGCGGAAGATAAAATATACCACCCCAAGAATTGGTGTCTTAAGTACAAGAGCTTCTAAAATACGATGCAAGTCTGAAACCAAAAAGGCAAATCTAACATAAGGGATATCCTGTCTGAATACTGAATAACAGAATAAGTAAAAGATAGAGGGAGGTGTGGGCCACGGAACAGCCAAGCAGCTCACCACAACTCCAAGACACTCCAAACTCGGACTCAAACTGCTCCTCGAGATGTGCTCCTACTTGGAATCGAATCTGCACCACAAAGAGTGCAACAAGTGTAGTATGAGTACGAAACCACGTGTACTCAATATGTCTCATTGACCGACCACGAAGAAGTAGTGACGGGAGTTATATAAGAAAATAATTTCTTAGATTGTACAAGTATATATATATATTACACTTACTATTTAAGTTTCATCAATAAAGGAAATCAACATTTAATATTTTCCAAACACCAACGAAACATATAGTCATCAAGAATGAATGATGGGATGAAGTGCAATGCAATATGATGCCATGTAATGATATGTCTCAGAATACCCAGTACTCACTCAACCGTATATACATGATACTCCTCGGAAATACATCGAGAGTTCATGACCCATGGGGGACTCGCGAGGTCCATATACCGACACGGACGATCTCCACGTGTCTGTGCGGACGATCTCAACGCACTATCATAATATCAAATAATTTTCGCACGGACGGTCTCCACGTGCCCAAATTACAATCTTAACATCTCACCATCCCCAGCACGGACGATCTCCACGTGCCCAACTTATACTCAGTCTCACGTCTATGCATATGCACAATATTATTTCAATAGAGGGGATGATGATGCATCTCAATCAATCAATATGAACATAATACATACCCACCTCAATTATCACAACTATACGGATGAAATAAATAAAACACAATCACACAAGGAATTCAAGTCAATAATATATCAGCTAATGCCCATATGCTTTGGCATTCTCAAATTTCAATCCACATTCTATAATAGAAATTTTCTTTTTTTTTATAACATCGGTACTCGTACCAATGCCCGTCACACCATTGATACGAGACCACCATTTTTTCCCTTACCCCTTTGTCTATTTCCATTTTTAATCTTGAATTAGGAAAACGTCCTTCAACAAGTCTAAAAAGTCTTAACATACCTCAAGTGTCGAGCTCGTGTCACGAATCCTCAAGATAGTTCCTTCCCCTTTTCGTTAAGTTTTGGAATATTCACGATCTACCAATGATGCAATATTCATAAGTAAGCGAGTTTGTGGACATTCAAATTATTATAGGTATATCATAGATCCTAAACTCACTCATATCTCTAATCAAACGCCAAATCTTGGTATATTTTATATGCCAATTCATCAAATTTCAAGCTAAGAACTTAACCTTAACCTCTCCAAGTACCCTAGATTCAATGTTAAATCATATAATATACACCTAATATTTAATTACCTATCTCAATATCTTAAAAACTAGTAACTAATTTGATAAATAGATAGAAAAAAAAAAACAATATAAGAGAATAACGATTTGCACTGTGAACGAGACTGTGTTCTTTCTTTCTCCAAACTAATATGGCCAATTTCTATCCCTTTAATAATAATACATTCAATGCCATAATCTTAGTATATTTCCCCACGTCCCATTAGCCATCAGTGATAAATAATCAATATTAATAACCCACTTCTAATTTTATTCCATATATATATAATTTTAATTTAATTGTCAATCTTTTCCTTCCATCATTCAGCAACTGATGGCTGATGCCACCCATACTAAATTAATATCTAAATCCTTCATCACATAATACTAGTTTGTTAATTAATTCCTTAACTAGTCAATACCAACAACAACAACATCGGATTTATAACTCTCAACCTTAGCAATTTGTGGGTAGTAATTAGAATGCTTATATACAATATATTAACTCTAGAATAACAGATTAACTAGTCAACCTGAATTCCTACGCTAACAACAATCGTAACTCGATTATGTTTAAACATGATAATATAAATTTTCCTACCTTATCAATTAATATCTCTTTGTAAAGGAAAGAAAATTTCATGGAATACCTTAAACCGACGCTTCAATCTTGTTTAACAATCGTTTCGTGACTGCTACAGATATGATTTCTCTTGGCTAAACCCTTATTTTCCTTTTACAGAATAATTTTTCCTAAATATCATATAACTAATTATAAGAGTGGTGAAAGTGACCCACTATTTATTTCACTACTATCCTCTTTAACTACCAACTAAATACATTAATAAAATTACCCCACTAATTTATCCAATACATGGTCAAGTATAAAGGTATTAAATTAATTATATATATGACCCACTAACTATTAACTATATACTAATTTAATAAAAATTTCCTCAATTAGGCACTCGTAGTTACCGAATAGTTTAAATATCCCCTTTAATTTTCCAAAAGGAGTCAAACTAGTCCTAGTTCTCAAAACGACCTAGCGGGTCGTTACAATTATTTTATTTTGTAGACCCTTTTGATAAGCACTATTTTAATATCTCAACGCATATAAGGCTACCAATGTTCCGTTATGTAGTTATGCCAGAGACTTTGATAAGTTAAAAGTTATTTGGACTCAACAATATTAATACTTGTTCAGATATGTTGATAAACATTATGCGAGGACCTTGAGAAATATATATTAGTTATAGTTAAGGCCCAAGTTTCCATTTAAGTCTATGATTCACTTATCTTATCAATGGAAATCGTTTGGACAGAAATATAAATTTTTTATCACAACTAATGAGGCAGTTTAAGTATTGTTTAATTTATGAACATTATGTTTTAATTATCAATTTCAATCTAATTATTTTTTTATTTTCTAGATTATCTATGAAGCAATTGAAAGTTTTGATTTACCAAATGATACATCAATTAAATTAAGGAAACTCGGTCAAATCTATTTTGTACTTGTTTGAAATGATTGGAAAATTGGTGCAAGTAAAGTCATGTTTGCTTGTCGGAAGTAATAGATAGTCCTATTTTTATTATGTATAAAATTTAATCTTTATAAGTATCTTTTATTGATTTACGAGCTATGTATGATGAATAACAATATTATCATGTGTAGTTTCACCATTCATGTGTATTTTTCATGTATACCCTATAGATTTTAAATAGTTAGCCCAAATCAATCCCCATACTTGTTTGAAATGATTGGTAAATTGGTGCAAGCAAAATCATATTGGCTTGACAGAAATAATACATAGTTCTATATTTTTTATGTATTAAATTTAATCTTTATTAGTATTATTATGGATAACAATAACCATCCTGATGCAGTTTCACCAATCGTGCGTACTTTTCTTGCATTTCATATGGATTTTCAGTAGTCCCAAATTGACCCCAATATAGACTTTCAATTCACTTCTTACAAAGTTTTCAACTGTTTCTTCGTATTTGCACCAAATAACATGTTTCTCAGTTTGTTTTCAATTTCATTCTAATGAGTGTTCTTGATTCTATTCCAACATTTTGCATCAAGCAGCCTAATCAATGATTTTGTATGCTTTAAGAAGCAGGCCATACGATTGAGTTCAACTAAAAACTCGTGTGGATGATATTTCATAAAATATTTTATTAATCAACACTCATATGGATGATACTCCATAGAATATTTTTAGGAATTTTCATTTTGATGACTTATCATTTAAACTTTAGGATCATATATTTCTAAAAATTGATTCTTCCTAAAACTTTTATAAACTCACCAAGTGTACTTAGCATGGTTATTTTGGAAACCACGTTATCTTTATTTTGGCCAATATATGAGCGCAACTTTTTTGGATTGTACATCAATTCAATATCTTTATCAATGATTTTTTTTTGGACGAGGCACAACCCTATATTTTCATTGATGAATAATGTATGTAATTTTTATTTTATTTGATAATTAACATGTTTTAATTTTCCACTATAATAATTTTTTATTTCTATTTATCATATTGTCTAAACAATCGAATTTCTTATCAAGTTGGTCATAAATTTCTTATAATAGTAAATTAGAAATTGATATTTTTTTGTTGATTATATCTGAAAATTCTTTTGTCAATTTTTGTAATGCTGCTATAATACTATATAACTTAAAAACTTTTTAAAACATTTTTGTAAAACTTGATTGGGTATAATAGGCCTAATTGGGCTCACACATCATAATTTTGTAGGATAAAATACCTATATACATATCTTTTCTTTTGATAATCTCCATTATTTCCTACCAATTTTAAAAATTTTCAAAATCCTTTATTTTATTTCCAAACTCCAAATATTTGATACATAAATCTTAACTCCTCAAATTAATATTTACTCCTTCCTTATTTCAATCCACAAATCACTCCCTATATCACACCAAAAATGGAATCAAAATATCAGAAAATAAGTTTTTATTTCTCAACAATAGAATTTCAGATTATAATAATAAAAAGTAAAATTAACATCAAAGTTGATAAAAATCAATAGTTATTTCTAAAAAAAATCAGATTAAGAAAATGAAATAATAAGATAAAAGCAAAAAACTTATTAAAAAAAGCAAAAAAATTTAAATTGATTGAATCATAAAAAAATTATATGTTGAATCAAGATTTAGAAAAACTCTTTTACTTTTTGGTGATGATTTTTTTTTTAAAAAATAACAAATGATTGGGATTTAAGAATAATGTGGAAAAAGAAATAGGAAATATAATAGGAAAAAAATCAATTGATTGATATACCTTATCAATCACAAATTAATATATTATGGAAGAATATTGGTTATTTAATTATATTAGGATTTCTTTTCATATTTGATTATTTTATTATTAAATAATA